AACCGGATGCGGCAGAGGGAAAACCTGCAGCGCTGCCGGGGCTGCACGAGTGCTCGCACGGAGCTCTGGTACCAAGTCCCGAGGGGGAAGAACCTCCCAGCTGTGAGTGAAGAACTAAGGAGCAGCTCCGTGCGGTGCGGACGCAGCCTGACGCATCCATCGGCTGGGGCAGACGTGGGAAACCCCACGGTGAGGCGGGGAGGGGGGAAAAACGAAAGACCGGGAGGGGCGTCGTTGCCCTTCGCTTCCAGATGCTCCAGGAATTGCTTCTCCTGGCTTGAACCCTGCACTAGAACAAACGGCCGGGTGTAGCGTGGGGTGGGAAGATCCTTGTGTGGAAAGGTGCCCCAAGATGGAAGCGCAGAGGGAACGTGGCTGCTTCCGTGCAGGTCTCCGATCTCGCCGCCGCGGGGCCAAACTGGCGAGGGGAGCGCGTACGTGGGACAGGGGGAAGGAAGAAGGGCTGGGGGCGAAGGAGTTACTCATGCTTAGACAACCTTTCCTCAGAGGAGTACGTCAGGCCTACCACCTTCTTTGGAACTAACCAAGCCGAGGAGGAAAGTCTGGAAGGAGAAGCCAGTTCACTGGTAACAGCGTTTGCCAACTTCCTGCCCGCAGCTTCCTCTTCTCCCCTGCACCTGCCTGTCCCGACCCCGACGGTTTACTTGTCCTCTGTCCACTCTGGGATGTTGGCCCCTGCTAAGGCAGCCCGGTACTGCTGCAAGACACCACGGATGCTTTTAATGAACCCCTTGGACAAAGGGAAGAGGGGGAACCCAATATCAGGGTAACCGCTCAAAAGAGGAAACTTCTGTAGCTCTTTCTCCGCTTCTTTGGTTTCACACTAGGCTGCGAGGCCGAGTCCTGGGCAGCCTTCCCCTCGTCCATTCGGTCTCTGGCCAGGTCGGCTGCCCTGGCTTGGCCCGTGCTCTCCGAGTCCGAGTACTGCTGGAGATCGCCAGTGACGGGCGTCGAGGTTGTGAACTCCGACTCGTCCAGCTCCTCCTTCCCGTCGAGCGCCGAGTCGGACAGTTCGGCAGTTGCGCCCTGCTCCGAGCTGCTGCCGTACTCCCCCAGCGATCCCGCATTGTCGCCCGGGCTCTCGGCCAGGGTGCCGCAGGCGGAGAGGAGGGAGGCGGAATCAGCCCCATTGGCCTGCTCGTGGCTCCGCTCCACCAGCTCGTTCGTCTCCAGCCAGGACTCGATGCGGGACACCAGGCGCCAGCCGTTGCAGCGGAAGTGCTCACGGATCTCGTGCTCGAAGACTTCCACCGGCCTGCGCAGCAGCTGCATCATGGACTGCACCACCCGGATCAGGGTCATCTCGTTGTAGCAGCGACTGTTCTCGTAGCCCTCCTGCAGGCCCCGGTCGCTGTCAAAGCCCGCCTCGTTGTAGTAGGGCTCGTTCACGAGGATGAGACCTGCCAGGAGAAGGGGAGACCGCAGGGTGAAGCTTACCGTGACGCGCCGCCCCAGGCAGACACTGCTGGGCCCCAATTGCTGCCGAGGCAGTTGAGGTTGGAGGGTCACGGCATCGCGTTGCTGAGCCTGGCCCGCGGACACCCCCGCAGGCAGCGCACGGGGAACGCCGTGGGGAAGCCAGGCTTTGACTTCGAGTGGGTACCGGCAGCCAGGCCGGATGGCCGGGAACCTGCAAAGATGCGTTGGAATGGTGTGGCAAGGGAAGCGCTTGCGTGAAGGGGTCTGCGTCCTCCTGCTAGGGCAGCAGGGAGCTGGGATGCCACCAAGCGTGGCAATCAAGATCCTTGGCTGGCAAGAACGCAACCAGCGCAGCGCAGCAGGCACACAACGGCAGAGCATGTCAAAAGGGAAGAAGGGGAAAGGTTTCGCAGCTAATTCCCTCCCCTCCTAGCAAAAAAACCCACAAACACACCCAAAGCTTTTTTTTTTTCTTTTCCCCTTAAGTAGATTTTTTTCTCCTCTTAATCAGAACAAAGGCCAATCCTCAGTAACAGGCTCCGAGCTGGCCAGGTCCGATCAGCCAGCACAGTCCCATCAGACAGAGCAGCGCGGAGACAGCAGATCCCGTGACAAGTCACCCACATTGAGCTCTCCTGCTTGCTCCTGGTCTAACGTCATCGCGCGGAGGTAGCGATGGCACCGATGCTGCCAGGCCGCTGGCAGCCTGCCACAAACTGCATTAGAGCTGGTGAAGGCCTCATGAGCCTCTCAAAGCCCAGGCAGCAGGAGGGGCGAGGAGGTTTTTCACTTGCACCACGTCGCTCCAGTAAAACATTTAGTATTTCATTTTCTAAATTTGGATCCTCAGCAGTCTCAAAGAAAAGGCTTTTCCCACAGTGTCATCATCCCCCAGGAGGATCCAGGTGGACCGAGGGACTTCAGAGGAGCAGCAATCGCCTGCTGAGCGAAGGCAGGAGCCCTTGCTCTGTGTCAAAGGTTTCTCAAGTCACATGCCTGGGCTCCCTGCACAGAAAGCTGGCCTTGAGGAAGAGATTTGATTTAGCCTGTCTGCTCTCAAACTAGTTACAACAGGGCAAAGCCCTATGGCAGGAAGCCCTGAGGCTGGTCTAGCCACACCCCTGATTCTTCTCTGCTTCAGAAGGAGCATAAACACCATCCTGTGCAAAAACATGCCCAGTGTGGGATGGGCGGGTGACTCAGTGGGGTAAAGTCCTGCGAGTAAAGCCCAGTTTAGCAACTTCAACCAACTCTGGTACTGGCCTTTGGTTCTCTGTGGTTCGCCTCTGTCAGCTCAGAGTAAGGAGCGACACAGCTCTGTGCTTAGCTGCGGCAGTGAAAAGGGAAAGCGTTGTCAGAGACTTGGGATGCAGCCAAAAATCGGGCAGGAGAAAAGCTGGCACCTGCTTGGACTAATGAACCGAGAGATAAGGACATTGCCTTGTCCAGCAAAGCGAGAGCAAAGGGCAGCACTAACCCAAGTGGGGAGGCAGACGCCAATCGTGTGCCTCGCCATAAGCCTGCATCCCCTCCTCCCCCCGCCTTTTCCCGTCCCACAGGCTCTACTGGAGCATTTACCTTGGATGGAGATGAGCACTTGAAGGAGGCTGGATTTACTGGTCCACCTTTCTGTCCCCTGAAACACACATACAAATGTGTTAAAGGCCCGAAGGACCAGTTTGCTGTGTGATGTCTGCAGCGTGGGAGGCAGGGACCCAAACCCTGAGAGAACACACTGTGCTGGTGTTGGCACCTCTGTCCAGCTGCGACACCACTCAGCTGGTCTGACCAAGGACAGACAAGAGCCAAATACAGCCAGAAACACCCAAACTACAGCAGTCGCCTGCTCCAGACATCTAAACCAGAACCCAAGGCCAGAGTGAGCCCCAGCTCAAGCCCCTCCTGAGACCAGAAGCCACCCCGGATTCTTGGCCTGGTAGGAAACTGCTTCTTCCAAAAGCAGCCTGGCACAGCCACCACTCCCCATGGACGGGCAAGCGGAAGCATTACCTTGCCTATCCACGTCCCCAGGAGGCTGACGCACACTTTGCCGTTGTCGTACAGGTTGGGATTCAGCCTCCCACTGCACTGGGAGAGGTAGCGGAAGAGAGGTGGGACTGCAGGGTAGATGTTGGGGAGCTGGATATCAAAGAGGAAGAGGCCGTCTTCATAGGGCGTGCGCGTGGGCCCCTTTATAAGTGCTGAGAAGAGATCCTGCAGAGAGAGGCAGTAAGCTAGGCACCGTGACATATCCCTTTACACTGGCAGGGTTGTATTTACGTACAGGGAGAGAGGGAACGTGATTAATTCAGTCCTTGCAAGGGTCAGTTCAAGCAACACACCCCAGGACCCCTTCCCGCTAGAAGCTGTGCTCGTACCACGCCCTGACAGCGGACCAGGCCTCCGGAGCTGAAGCCAGGCTTCTGAGGATGGCCAGCAAACCCCGTGCTGCTCACCGCCTACGTCAGCCCTTGCTGCCTGCCCTGCTCGCTGGGACACGCGGCCCGCTGGGCAAAGCACCCAAAACAGGCTTCCTGCAACGAGGAGCTCCCCTCGTTTGTCACGCTGACCTGGGGAACACGAAAGCGGCCGTTTACGGTAGTTACGGCCGTATTTCAGATGCTGCGCACATTCCTGCAGCTCTAACGCGAAGAGTTAAGTCTACGCAGGGAATTCCAAAGAAAGCAATGTGGATGCTGAGCCCAGCACTATCACACAGGCATTTGGGAGCAGACACTTGCCATTCGATCCTCGAAGGTTTTAACCATGATGCCGTCAGGCAGGGAGGTGGCCAAGAGAGCCATCTCTTTCCGCACGGTGCTGAAGAACTTCTTTGCTTCTGGAGGCTGGAATTCCATTTTCTTGAAGGCATGGGTATCTGTGGGGCAAAGAGGAGAATGGGATTAAAGTCTGCCTTTGGAAACTGCCAGAGGTTCCAGGTGAAGGCAAATCTATCCATGCATTAAACCTGTAATTTGGAAGGGAAGAGCTGACTCGCTTTGGTGCTGTGCCAGGAAGCAGCATAGAGATAATCTGATTTTTCCCACACTGTACGGCAGCCACAACCTGCGTCTCGTGTCCTCGTGGTCCCACACAGTGCTGTCCCTGTGCCCCCAACAAGGATCCCTGCCCCACATCTGGGACAAGGACGCAGGGCACAAAGCAACAACCCTTTCTCTAAGAGCAAAGCATAGTCCCCCAATCTTTATTTACACACACTCGCGGGCTGGGGACAGCTCGGCCACCTTTCTCGCTCACGCCTGGTCCGGCTGGCCGAGCGCCCTGGGCCCCGCTGTCACCAGCGTTCCGCACAAACAGACGCCCTTTATTTTTGGCTGATTAACACTGACGCACGTGAACAAGGACACTCAGCTACCCAAGGACACCCAGCACAACACCACCGGCTGATCCTGCCCCACTCCTCAACCCATCCATCCCTGCAGAAAAGCCTGAACAAACCCCGCAGCTTTCAAGGCGTCTGCAACGGGGGGCGACTGACCCCCACGGCCCTCCGACGTTAGTTACCGGTGAGGGCGAAGGGGAAGCCCACTTCTGCGGCACAAGAAGTTATGGCAAAGTCTAGAGATGCCGTCTAAAAGCCAGGTTTGAGTCCCAGAACAGACTGTGCTACGGAATTTGTCTTAATTTCTCCTGACCAGTTAGTGAGCTGTGAACAGGACTAGGAGGAAGAGAGGATCTCCAATCCAAAAGGCCTAGAAGCAAAGGTTTTGGGGAAAGAAGCCCTGCAGGACAGCAAAAGAGGACAGAACACCCCACGCTGGCCTGACACACTCACCTGGAGCATACTCCAGCACGGAGAAGACTTCTCCCTTGGCACTGGTGAAGGTAACTCCAGGCTTGCCTCCACTCTGCTGGCAGAGAACTGGCGTCTCACTGGGCCACTCTGACCTCACTGGTGTCTGTGCTTCTGCTTTTTCTTCTTTCTTCTCTGTCTCCACCATGGCTTCCATCTTTTCCTCCTCTGCAATAGCCACATTATCCAAGGTCTTCTTTAGATTTTCCTGCAGCTTTTTAATATCGTCCAAGAACTTCTTCTCCCGAGTGGGTTTTTCCAGCTCCACGGTTGGGGAGGTGGGAGAGCCCGTCAGCAGCTGCTCCACAGTCATATTTTTCAGGCTTTCCAAGATTTTGATGGCCTCCTTTAGCTCTCGGAAGCTCTTTGGGGCTCCATCCTTGCCCGCTTTCTCTGCAGCAAGATCTGCAACTGCCATAGCCACAGCTCCCTGGACTTGTTCCTCTACTTTTTTCACCTCCTCTGCCGCTGGCTCCTCAGGCTCTAACTCCTCAATTTTCGGGTGGTCGTCTTCCATGAGGCCATTGTCTGTCTCCCAGCTGTCGCTTTCATCCTCCCACTCCGAGGATGCCCCGCTGGTGCTGCCATCCACAGAATCGTAGTCTGACTCCTCAATTTCTGATTCAATATTGTATAAGTGCTAAGGGACACAGAGTTATGAGAGACTTAGGCTGAAGCACAGAGTTTGACTTGGTTTTAAATCCCCATGAAAAGGGAGCTTCCATTTAAGACTGGTTGGGCTGTTTCAACCCCTTCCACCTATACAGGGCGGACTGTGTTTGATCCAAATAGCATGGTCATCCACGATGGCACAGATTATAAACCAGCATAGCCCCATCCTCCACCTTTCAAAAGTAGGGCACTGGGGGGAAACTAGGGCAAGTTTGAGGTGGGCTGCAGCCATCCCCGTGGCTGGGATCCAGCCAAGGAGAGCATGTAGGCATCAAACCTACCTGGATGCCGCAGGGTTCCTGAATGCAGAGCTAGTTCAGGAAGTATCAGGTATCATGGTGGAGTTAGTATTTCTCGTCCTGCTTCTGCACCAGCAACTGTGTTGGCGCAGAGCCCTGGTTTGGCTGCCTCCACACTCTGCCTTCCACAGAGACAATTCTGGAACCAGGAAAACATTCCCACACCAGCTTTCTTCCGTGGCACACAACATTGCTTTAGCTGTTGTATGTCACTACTGTTTAAAATTCAGCTGGGACAATGAAGCCTAACCCAAGTTGCTGAATAAGCTCTTACATAAACATTCCCTTCCCCTTCACTGCTGGAAGCTGACCCCATCCTCACTCCACCTAGCCTCACCTGCTTGATTATCGTGCTTTCGCACAGGCTACGTCTCTCTCAAGGTCTCCCTGTAGAGCCTTACAGGCATACTCCACCTACGAGCTCCAACACAGAAGCAGGGGAGCAAGAACAACTTTGGAAGGCTGTGTTAGGAGCTTCAAGACAGAGCATTTTATCCACAGGCTTCTGACACTTGAATGATGGCCCAAGACTCCTCTCAATCTTGCAAGATATGACCCCAAAGGCTAAAGGACATGGACACTCAGTCATCTTGTCCAAGCCTTGAGCTGAACCAGCGCTCTTCAGCCAGTCCTGTGCCACCCAGAGCCAGGCAGTCAGCAGGGGTTAGTTGGGTTCAGCACAAGTGACTGCAGGCAGGAAAAGCCATCAAAACGCGCTGCCCTCAAAGCTAATCCAAATCTCAGTCGGAAAGTTAATTAGCCAGTTATGCCATCTTTATTTTTAGAGCTGAGAAAAAGCACCCAGACAGCTCGTCTCTGGGCATATGGACAGGCATTGATAAATCACGGTTTTACCAACTGATAATTCACGCTCCTGACATTTCCCCAACTCCCGTAATTACGCAGACGAGCAGAATCGAAGGGACTGGTGTGACACAGCAGGAGCTGCCGCAGAGCCCCGGCACCGCAGTGTGAGAACAGCCCTTTGTGGAGCGCACATCAGACCTCCGATTGTGCCTGTGATCCAAGCACATGTGACAACAGGGGGAAGGGAGACAGCAGCCTGCTTTGTAACGCTCTAGTCCACTGCCATAGTGCGGGCATTGACTATTCTACTGTAATTAATGCAGAGCTGCTTGGCTTAAAAAGAAATCTTGATCAAGTGCTTTCTACTTGCAAACGCCTCCCTGCAGCGGAGGCAGTGGTGTTCTCTGCCACAGTGACGGAGATGGGACCCTACAGAAGCAGGTCTTCTCGTATCTTTAGGCTGTCTGCCTTAATTTGAGGCAAGGAGAAGCGACTTGGGATAAAACTGTGTGTGGAGCAGTGAATAAGATGGCAAGACAGTACAAGGTAAGCCTTAGAACAATGCAGGAGACAAATCGATGGGGTTAAGTGGATTAGTGAGGCTGTATATTTTTAAGATCACGCTCAACTCCCTTCCTTCCCAACCCTAGGAAGAGATAGGGGTCTGATCCCTAGGTTTGCTAGGGTCACGACTTGTGGCTCTAGCCCGGCTTCTGATGGACCTTCTTTAGCCAAAGAAAACACTGTGGTGCCGTTTCACAAGCAAGACAGAACAAGCTATCATGCTTTAGTTGGGCAACGCCACGAACCTGAGCCCAGGTCAGAGCCGATAATCCCCGAGCTCTGCAGCCCCCTCTGCAAAGCGGCAGGCGCTGGAGGCCGGGAGCTGTGGGCAGAGCTGTGAACATGCAGCACAACCTGTGAAAGGAGCAACACCCTGCCCATACTCCCCTATTCTCTGTATTCAAGAGCAGCGATGACCAATTAGCTGCCCAGTCCTGCCAAAGGAAAGATTTTCTTCTGCTACGGGAATTGGGAAGCCATCCTATCGTATGGGAAGCCAGCAATAAATAGAGCAGGATTCCCTTATCCAGCAAATCTCTGCACCCAGGATATAAAATCAAGATTTGTCACTCTGCTAAAGAATTACAGGGATATCGAACTGGAGCAGGACCTCACCTGAGGCAGAATGATAGTCTTGGAGTTATCAGCCCACACCACCTCCACTTTACTGCTGACATCCACGCGAGCCACCTGCCCAACCGAAGGCTGTGGAAACAAGAGCAGCTTGTCAGTCTTCCCCAGGCAGTTCAGCACAGGGCCAGGAAGGTTTTGAGAAACACATCCCCCAGGTGGGGGGATGTGCAATCACACCTAAAGCAGTGATTGCAGCCTGCCGCAGAAGCAGCAGGAGTCCTGAGGCTCCACACCAAGGGGGAGAAGAATCCTACAGCCAGGGTTTCCAGGACAAACCTCTCAACACTGCCACAGCAATGAGGAAAACTCCCCCCTCCCAAGAGGGAGAGGACCTGGACGGCTGGTCTGGCAGCAGATCCTGACATCTGATCAGGACCAGTGCCATGCAGGCGGCACCGCTGGGGTCGTGCCAGCCCGGGGACAGGACCTTGCCCTGAATGGGGTTGCCAGCAGCCGGCCCTACCCCAGTCCCCCTAGCCCCAGGGGCTCTCTGCAGCTTCTCCCAGCAGAGTGCAGGCGTGAACAGACAAGCTATGGTTGGCACAGTAAGTAATCTTGCACTGGAAGAAGGTTATTTAGGTCAGCTGAGCAAGCTGGGATGTGTTTCATGCTGCTGAAACTAGAACCGCAATGAGAGTCACACTATACCTTTTAACCCTTTTTTAGGGCAGCGGCCTCAAAAGCTGGAGGTCTTCCCTGCACAGTAAGGAAGCCTGTCTCCGAGCAAAGAGTGTATCCCGTACAATATAAATTGTTCCCTCTTCCTTCCCAGGAGATCAAATCAGCTTAACAAAATTAACATGCACATAACTTAAATGAAAACCAGAACTCCCATCTTTTGTTGCCAAGCGAAACCGGTTTCATGACAAATGCACCTTCACTCTTGCTCATAAGCCCACAGAACATCCTCATACTAGAAGTGCAAGAGTTATTAAAAAACCCTCAGGCAAATGTTTGATTCTAGTCCCAACTTTGTTCTTGCTCTGCTGTAGACTCTGTCACCAAGAGAGTCAAAGGATTTCAAGGTTACATCTCCAGACTTGGGAGATTTGATGTGTTACTTGTGACAGCAGGGGACACTGACACAGCACTAGCAAGCCAGGGAGTTCAGAGAGCACATCTGGGGCCTAGGGCCCTGCTACCCACTCTTGCAAGGGTCTCCCCTAATACCTGGTGACAATGAAGTCACATAGCTGTGCCCAGAACCTACCTCATCTTCCTTCGCTGTGGCTCCGTCCGAGTTGCCAATGCGAATCACAATGTCAGTGGTGCGGAAGCGAAAGTCTGGATGATCAGCAATATCATACACACTCACATCCTCCTCCTCCCCAATCAGCTGCATGAGACAGAAGGTGAACACATCAGCCCCAGGATGCCGCACTCCTCAGAGCACACCTTCAACACCCAAAAGTCCTTTGGGTTATATTTTGTCAATTTTCAGTTGCTCCAACGGCCTGCAAGGAGCTGCTGATGTCCTTTCTTGCCACCTCATCCTGCAGCACATCAATCAAGGCACAACAAAGAAAGGAAGCAGATATTCCGTCTCATCTGCTCCCCCTCACCTCTGCTTCAGGTTCCCTTACGATCACAAGACATGCAAGAACATTTTATTCCCTTCCCTTCTGAGCACCCAGATTTCTCAAAGCAGTTCTCTGGGGCCCAAAGCGTTAGGACTTGACTTTTGAAACGATCCAAGGCAACAGGAAGCGTCTGACAAAAAAACCTCTCAATTAACAGGAACATCTTTCTTTGATTTCTCCTGGAGGAAGAGATCTGGGAGCCCACAGATAATGAGAAACGGGCAGAGCGGAACACAACCCCAGGGCAGACTATTGTTCTGCTTCTGGATGTAAAGGGCTGTGGTATCAGTGACAACCCTAAGGCAGAAAGCAGTACAGCGAATGTGTGTGGTTTGAGTCCTCCTCATCTCCAACTAGACTGTAGGCTATCAAGACTCCACAAAACGCAGTGTTCCTACAAGCCTTGAGAAAGTTATTGGGCTGACTATAAGCAACAGTGCCTGGCAGAGGCAGGCAGGACAACGTGGATTCTCTTTCCATGAGCTAGCAGAGATGTGGGATGGAAAATTTCTTAGAGTGAACTCAAGTAATCAACTTCAGCAAACAGTCTTCATCCGTACCAGAGCCTGATGCTGACGCAGCTGGTTCCACCAGGCACCGGCTCCTGCACTTACCTCCACGTCGTCTCCGCTGCTCTTCAACTTGAACCACTTCACCACACAGGTCCGGCCAATATGGTCACCAGACTGCACGACGCCGTACAACCCAGGGTCCTGGGAGCTCTGAGCTTTTGGTCACAGCGGTAGGGGAGAAAACAGGTAAGTTAAGTGAAGGAGCACAGACTATGCACAGCAACCAAGGCTGTCAGCCCCCAAGCTCTTACGGCTGAAACCTTCCATCTGGGAATGAGGAAAACCGCTTCTTCCCACACAGAGCTGTAAACAGCTAAGGAGTTGCACATTAATGGGGCATGGAGTGGTGACAAAGTAAGGCTGCACTGGACTGGGCGAACATGTTGACTCTGGGACCACTTTCGTGCTCTCACCCCAAGAGCAAATGCGTGGTCACCTTAGTGCTCTGCTCTCCAAATCACCTCTGCACCAGGACTGTCTCCAAGAGCTCCCCAGGAGCTGCCCTGGCTGCCAAGCTCTTCATCTAGGAATGAGCCACCCATGACAGTTTTCCATCTCTGGAAAAATGGACTGGACAAAGGTGGAAGGCAGGCAGCATGCAAGGAGGTATGCATGCGTCGGGGATCCGAGAGCACCAAAGCTGGGCCTGGACCACCTCTCCAGGCCTGGGCTGTCTCAGCTGGTCTTGGCAATGCCTGCACCACATTCCAGGTCTTCACTTCTGACCCTGCAGCTGTGTTCCCAGCTCTCGCTGTCTCACTACAGGTAGCACAGGGGACACACAGCTCAGGCACCTGACCCAAACTGACCAAAGTAGTATTTCATTACATAGTACGTTATGCTCGGGGTAGAGGCGAGGAGGGGGCCTGGGAGCCATCACTCTCTTACTCGTTCACTCCCGTACACTTGCTGACACTCTCCCAGACTCCTGTGTTAGCTGCTTTGCTAACTCCTGCACTGGCTCATTTGGGAAGGAATTGGTGGGCTAACTCCTGGCTCATTTGGGAAGGAATTGGTGGGGTTGTTTAGTTTTCCCGGTCGTGCTATCGCTGGCAGGGTTCATTTGGAATGCGCTGCGATCGCTCTCGGGCTGCGGCTCTCGGGCTCTCTGGGTCTGACTCACTAAACACCTGATTCTGCATTGGTCAGTGGGTGGTGAGCAACTGTGTCATAGTTGTATAATAGGTTTTATTTTCCATTATTTGAATTATTTATTATTAGTAGTATTTGTATATATTAATTTAGATTCAATTAGTAAATAGTTCTCATCTCAATTTTACGAGCTTCCTTGTCTTTTTCCTCTGATTCTCCCCCTCTGCTGGAGAAGGGAAGGAGGAATCTGTGGGAGCGGCCTCGTGGTATTTTCCTGGCCAGAGTTAAACCACAACACAAGGATTCACCTCCCAGCATCCTTAGCAGGGGGCTGCAGGGAACTGCAGGCATTCCAGACTTCCTGGAGACTGACAGAGGAATACTGATTCCCAGATGCCAAACTAGAATGGGTAGAGCTGGAGCTGATGGCTAACTTCAGTTTCCACAAACCATGTCTAACCCACAAGACCAGTCAGACTATTACTCATCAGAAATGGCCACACAAAACAGGATTTTTTTTGCTAAGCCAGCTTTTCCCTCTTCCCAACCTGACAATTTCTTGTGCTCCCCACTGTTGAGGGTCTACCCCTGCTAAAAAGGAAGAGCTGAGAGCCAGATGGTGTGCCATCAATATTTCATATCTAAAAGCTGTTAAGTCTCCTTGAATTTGTAACAGTGACCCTCACTAGCATCACCAATTGGTTTGGTGAAGAAAAGGGATGCAAGATGCCACCTCTGGATCCCAAAACCCTCCAGGAAAAACAATGGAGGATCATGACAGACAAGCCATACAGAGAAAGCAGCCTGAGGTGAGCTGTTCATTTCTCCCCTCACTCTGCAAGAGCTCAGAGCTGCTCACAATTTCAAGCAGAAGGTGGGCCACCTCTACTCCACAAAAATATTGAGAATCCTAGCTTTGCTCCTTGGCATTTATTCCTTCCACATCTTGTCTGTTGTCATAGTTCAGCTTTGGAACTGAAATAACAGTTCTCTGGTGACAGGTTACATCAGCTGAATCACCGTGTGTCCCTTCTTGGGCTCCTGTGCCTACCTCAAGTGAGTACTACCAACAGCTACCGTAAAAAGGGCTATAGAGTACATAAGGAGATCCAGACTGAAGAATACTTTCCAATTAAGAGCATGTTTGGTCCCCGAGGGCATTGTTTTGACACCCAATACCTCTTTTGTCCACCACAAAATCCCCAGGGCAGAACTCGTTGTTGTCCAGATGATGGACTGGAATCAGCTCATTGGAGCGAATGTTTGTCTCCACGGTGCCATCCTGCCACATCACGTCAGCCGAAGTCATCGTGGTCACCACTTCCACAGCAACCCTGGGAACGCAGAGGTGACGAGTTACCAGAGGGAATGAGCACGAGCACAACCAGACGACATGCTGCCAACACGGGGAATCGAGATGGATCTCGGCAGCAGGAAGGTACACATACCAACAGGCTGGGAAGCAAATTGGGAAACCCCGTTTAGCCCCAGTGGAAGCAGCTTCACAGCAGGCTTTAACAGGTTCTCAATCACTGCAAGTCTCTACTGCAGGACGACTGACTTTCCAGGGAGCTGATGCTGAGCTCTCTTTTATTCCTAGTTGAGCAAATTAAAGTCTACCAGCACCCACTTTCTACCCCTGGCAGAAGACAGGAGCTTCAAACACTTTTATGATGTCTACTGAAGCACCTTCTAGCCTGGCAGCTCTGAGGAGTCCTTGAAGCCCAAGAAGCAGGGGACTGGATAAGATAAGCAGCATCCATCTCAGCCTTCCCAGTAAGGGGGGGAGGGGGTGGAAAAAAAAAAAAAGAGGCAACACATTAGACGTCGGTGAAGCAAAAGGATTTTGTTTGAGAGAGAAAAGTCTCCTTCCCAGCTGTTCAAACACATACATGTGTCTCTCTGCGGCTGAGAACTGAAACCCAAACACGCAACAATGGACCGCATGCTGGTACTCTGCTGCGGAGCTCGACAGAGTTGCTTGAAGAGGCGGGTTGCTTGGGGGCAGGAGGAACAGAGCTGCAGCCTAGCTGGACAGACTCTGCTAACGAGCCCTCCACCATTTTCATCTTCCCTACAGCACAGAACAAATAAAATCCCATGCGGATTTTAAGTCTTGTCTTTAGTTTCCTGGCCAGCGCTGCATTTATATATTGGTTTCAAGTCAAACCATAAAGATGATACAAAAGGCAAATACAACTGTTTTCCCCCAGCCCTGTTTTTATGAATGTCAGAGAAGTATTTTGAAGTGGAAATAATATGAAGTTTCTAGAAGGGCCAGCACTCAACAGCAGAAATTATCAGAGAAGGAAGCCTGTGACAGGTCAAGTGTGGTGGGGTGACATGCCCATGGATCCCCTTGGGGGAAGGGGGGGCCTGTGCAGCTGAGGATGGGGGAATGGAAAGGCAGGCCACCCAAGGAAATGACAGAATGGTTTGGGTTGGAAGGGACCTTGAAGATCATCTAGTTCCAACCCAAATGACAGAGTCCTGCCTGCAGCGCAGTTTATGCTGCTTCACTAACAAAAATCATGACGTGACATTAATAAAAATCCCTGTATATCCTCACTAAAAAATAACCAGAGGTTTATGTGCTGCCTGGAGAGCTGCAGCAGGACGGTAAAGCCACATGCTGAGTTGGCCCCCTGCAGTCAGAGATGCCCACGAGCTGACACATCAGATCTGGGGACTAGCTGCAGCAAGCGTTTCTGAGCAGCGCTTGGCAGCACCGCCACACAGTCTCACCAGCTTCATCTGAGCGTTCAGTGAAGACCCCTCACTCTGAGCCGTGACCAGCTGCCACACATGCCCCTCAAACCATCAGCTGGGGTTTCACGTTCTGTGCTGAAAAGCCCTTATTTCTTCCTCTCTGTGATCTGTCTCTGCAAAGCATCCCAACATCTGATCTCTGCACTCCCTCATACGGAGGTGCCTGGATTCAGCACGGGGATCTCCTATCACAGGGATTTCTCTCCACTGCCTGTATGATGCGGAAAGCTACCAGGTTTGCTAGTTATCTTTACAAAGTCTTCAATGAAGTAGAGGCACTCAGCAGGGGGGTGAGGAGTCAAAAAGTGACCTGAGAATCAATTCCCAAAAACTATCATGCACTCCCATTTTTCCCTTCACTTGAACGCTGCTCTGCTGAGGCTGGAGACCTCCAAATCCTCCAAAACCTACCAGGACTGAAGGAACAGCTGTCACTGCATACAAGCAAAGCTAAAAGAGCCAAAGAAAATGAGAAGCTCATGGCATTCTCAAACTACTGGATCCCTCAAATCCTGACAATGCCACTTTTCTGGGAGGATTCTCACATATTATCTTGCACTAGTTTATTTCGGATGCGGGATCTGTATACAGCTAAGTAGCCCAGGGAAGCCAGCAAGGCAGGCTGGCCACTTGTCAGCTGTTTTTGCATCCCCTGAAAACAGTTAAAACATTCTTGTTAGATAAAAAGCTGCTGAGATCCAGTTTTATCTAGAAATGGGTAGATACAGGCAGTGGTCCCCCCACTAGCTACTGAAATCAATTCCTCCAAGGCTCAAGGAGCACACTTTGCTCATGAAAAGCACGATAAAAAGCGTATACCACTGGCAACAGTCACAGATCTCTCCCTAGAGCAAGTAAGGATAACAGAGACCACTGCAGCATGAACGCCTGCCAGCACAGACCGCCGGGCCGGAGACAGCTCTGAGGATGAAGTGTCCATTCCTGCCAGCGTGGTCTGTGCTCAGCCTCTCTGCAGAAGCTGCCAGTGAGGTAACCAATTAGTGTCATGTTTAAGCTGTGTGATCTTTATTCACCTGTCTCTCTGCGTACAGAGTCTAGCGCAGCGCAGATATTCTGTTGATGCCCTGAGGCACAGCTGAAACAGAATCCGAGTGTCACGTCACGTGGCCCCAGTTTCAGAGGCTGGACTGAGACCAAGCTGATTTCACACAGGCCACTGCACAGTCATCACAAGATAATCGCTCTTGGTTACTACCAAGCGGTGTCCTAACACGAGGCACATCCTCCTCCTCCACCCGAGCAGAGGAGGTGGTTTACATCTCAGAACTTTGGAAAGGGAGATTTTGGCAAGTATACCTGGGTTTGGAAATCCAACTCACCTGTCTCCTGGCTTAAACTCTCGGGAAATCTTGGTCTTCTTCTTCTTGTGCTTCCGCTTCAAGTTTTTGATGGAAAGAGGGATGCTTTTCTTGCGGCCAGTGCCGCTGCCACTCTGGGATGAGGCAGTGGAGCTAGCAGAAGAGGTGACAGAGCTGGTATCGTCAGTGTCATCAGCTGCCTCATCGTCAGCATCTTGCTCCATGGACTGAAGCCGGTAATCGGACGATCCTTCGTCTTTCAGCAGAAAGGGGGGCTGCTGCTGTCGTGCTGCTGCTCCTCCTTTCTCCTGTCCCGTTTCCTCAGGCTGCTCCTCCTTTCTCTCTCCAGGACTTGGTACACTGTTGGAAGAATCATCCAGCTCATGCTTTGATCCAGACTCAAGCTCTCCCGATTTTTGGTCAGCAGCCGCAGCAGACTCTTTGTCGGGGGCTTCACTGGTACCCTGAGACTCTGGGGAGCATGACATGATCTTCACTATCTGCTTCTTCAGCAGCCGCCTCACCTAGAGAAAGCAGACCTGGGTCAGAGTATGCCTGCAACACTCAGCAAGGTGCCAGGCAGCTAGGGAACGGTTAGCTTCATGCACAGAGGAAAACAGCACCCTCCGGGCCTCCGCATGTTTCACCTGAGCCAGTGTTCTGCACACCGGCATCTCACCACTGCTCTAGCCCAAAGAAAGTGAGCTTCACTCCTTAAGGGTATTCTAAGCATGTTGTGAACTTTCTGTTATGGAAGGTCACAAGAGGCTGCACAAGTTAATCTGTCTACCAGGCACAGCTATGCAGGGAGGTCCCCATCCACACTGATGATATCCTGTTATTCTAGGAACACCGCTGCTCCACAGCCAGCATGTAGAAACCACAGCATGAGTCATCTGGCCTAGGAAGCAAAGACTTGGGTGTCTCGATGTAGCAAGGATTTAACTGAACAGTTCAGCTCTGTGAAAAACCTGAGGTCATGAACACGTGTTTGGCAGTCTCGGCTGTCAGCACACGAGCTCTGACACAGCCTGACCTCTGCTGTGGCGGTACCTCTGCGTCTAAGGTCCTGTTCCTGTCCTCTCGTGGCATTAGCTACACGCTTCACTCCGTGCAGTCAGAATGCGGTACAAGGTGATTACGTTGCTGGCAGCAAGAGGCCATTACTCTTTACAACCCCTGCTTCAGGACTCACATTTCAGACCACATGACTACCAGGAAGATTTCTGCTTTAAAAGCCACAGCATTCAGAAACACTTGGAGAAGTCAATGCCCCCCTCGACCCCTCAGCTCACCTTTTTGGCAACTGATCCCTCACCCAGGACACAGTTCCTCTCGGGGCATTCACAGGTGATTTTTGCAGGTTCCACTTTGTCTGGGAACACATAGAGGCATCTTTCCCCAAGCTGTCTTTGGGCGTGGTCAAAGCACCCCAGACGCTTTACCCTGGTAGAACAGGAGGACAGCTGTGAGCAAAGTACAAAAGCAGCAACAGAACCTAGCAGTGACCAGGCCATCACAGGGCTGGCTTGACCTCATGCCAGCAGCACTGTTTCTGGGGCAGCAGAAGCTAACACCACACCAAATCTTTTCCAGACACACAATTCTAAAGGAGGAGTGACAATCTCACCAGGGACTAGATGGGATACAAAGGGTTTGGGTGGGACACCAGTCACTCCTCTCCCTCTAGACCTCACCCTCCCAAAAGCTGCCAAGAGATATTTGCAGTTGGCATTGCCTTTAATTTTTTGCTGTCATCTGAGAACTGCTCTCCTCCAGCTTATGAACTCCAGACAGGAACCATGCTGCACTGTGATATTACTCATCTGATTGTCTTTCCAAATGCTGTCCAGCCCTTTTTTGGGGCTGCAGCCTGCAGAGGGCACCAGATGCTCCCTCAGCACTAGCCTTCATCCAGAGCAGGACACCTTCCTGCCTGCTGCACACAGGCAGTTAAAACAGCCTGCTCCAGGCACAGTGAAAGACAAGAGTGAGCTGTTACCACGCACCGCTTTCCTCTCTGCACTTGTCAGCTGGAAAGGACTTGGAGAAGATTAGTGGGACGCTAGCTCCTGTATTGGTAACTTATTTGGAAGCTATTCTCACATTTTTGAAGCACTGGAATACACAGACACACAGCAAGGAAGAAAAACCCACTGTGTGGTGCAGTCGACACGCTG